TTGCATCAAACTAGGGTTGGGGATTTAGCTTAGTAGCCTGCACCTGCCTCGCCAGCTCAAGGTCCTTAGTTTGATCCCCAATTCCACAAAAACAAACAAACAAACAAAACAAAAAAACAACAAAAAATGATTACATCAAACAGAAAACTTCTGAACAGCAGAGAGAAAATTCAACAGAGTAAGTAGAAAAGGTACATGATAGTTATTGTTTGAAAACTGTGATATGGATTTAATACAAAAAATATAGAACAAACTCACTTAAATACTAAGGAAACACCATGATTAGAAACTGGAAAAAAGATGTAAAAAGGTATTTCCTAAAAGTACTAGTCTTTCTCAAAAATAGTAGGAGCCTGCAGATATATGAAAAGTTGGTTTCTACAGTAGTCATAGGGGAAATGCCAATCAAAATCACTGTGAGATACCACCTCACTTCTATTAGAATGGTCATCAAAAGACATGGTGGATGGGCCGGGGATTTAGCTCAGTGGTTTTGCCGCCTGCCTTGCAAGCACAAGGACCCAAGTTCTATCCCCGATACTGGTAAAAAACAATGGTGGAGAAAATTTCAATTAGTACAACCAGCATAGAAAACAAAATGAAGTCCTCCAAAATAAAATTAACACTATTACTCATATATGACTGAGTAATCCCTCTTCTGGGTATGTATCAAAGTAAATAAAATTGGCATCTTGAAAAGATATCTGTTCTCCAATGCTTTGATGAAATACTAAGAATAAAGCAGATATGTGAAAAGTATGTGTCTATCAACAGATGAGGGGGTCAAGAAAATATGATATAAACACACTATGGGTTACTAGTTGAGCGTGAAAAAGAATACAAATATATAGTTTACAACCACACGCATGAACCTGTGGAATATTGTACTATTTTCAATAAACCAGATACAGTAAGACAAATACTACATGATTGCATTCATGAGTGGAATTTTAAAAAGTGAATCTCAAAGTAATTGGGAGCAGAACTGTGGTTACCAGAGGCTGAAGCAGTTAGAAGTCAGTGTGGCACACTATGGGTTAAGGGTGTACACAATTCTACTTAGGTAGAACAAACAAGTTCAAAAGATCTATAGTACAGCAGCTAGAGTTGATATACTGTGTTCTTGAAAAAATAGTGAGCTGATATGTATTTTCACCACAAAAATAACTACTGCAAACTTTCTGTGTTAATATTTTGGTTTAACTATCACAAAATGTAAAATGTTTGTAGAATGCATACTGTATACAATACATATGTAGCATTTTGTCTACGAATTTAAATAAATACACCAGATAATTTGAAATACAAAAACATTAAGTTTAAAAGAAATAACTTCTACTTTGTCATAATGCTATGGACTTAAAATGATTTATACAGTCTCCAAAGATTGTTAAAAAGAAACATATCACAGGACATAGTTCTTGGACTGGTTCCTCACAAAAATAAGCCTTTCCTTAGGCGATACTTTATGACTTTGAAAATCAAACGAGAATAATCAAGTTTTTCATTTGAGAAGAATGCACTTTCCCCTGCAAGAGCTTACATAAAAACAAAATTGATTGAATATTTTCTATTTGTTATCTTCTTTGTACCTCAAGGGAGGTGAATTATTTGGAGAGTGGGAAGAAAACAGAATAATTTATTTAATGAGGAGCTCTGAGACTGTGTAAAATTTAGCAGTTTTCCTGGAGCCTCTCATCCACACTTCTCCAATCACAGCTTGCATAAAAACACAAAACGTCTTCCTGCGGACAAACTGTGGGGAAGACAAAGCTTCAGTGACAAAGCTTCAGAGAGAGGCAGCCTGGCATGGTGACAGCAAGAGGAACAAGAAGAAAAGATGAGAGAATACTAGTACTGGACTTGACTTCTAGAATAATGAAAACAGAAAGTTCGATTATTTCTTTAGTCTAAAAGTGACATCCTCGTACCTAAAGGAACTTTAGTTTCTACCAAGACCAATCTCTCCCAGGTATTCTTGTTTTTCCTTCTTTCACACTTTGGAATCTAGAGTCTCTCTCTAATCTGGACTATCTCCAGCTTGTCTTCTGAATGTGGTAGGTTCCTGTTACATTTCTTGCCTTCCATTTTTTTTTCCACTAACTTCTCACTGAAGATCAATTCTACACTGCATTTATGTATTTCATTCTAAACATGATTGGATCATCCTGCTATATCCCTTAAATATTTTTGCTGGAATTTTTGACTTATAGATATCTCTTCTTAGTTGTCTACTGTTGTAGTTATAATTTCATCTTAACATCTGCAATATGCCTACCATGAATTTAATTAGTTCTGATTGTTAACACTCAACCCAATTTATTTTTCTTATAGTACCAGTATCTTTCTGAACACTGGCAATTCCGGCATTAGTCATGCTTGCTGCATCTCAAACTCTTTCTCTAGTACCTCTCATCCTCTGCTGCACTGCCACATGGCAGCATTATGGGAACTTTTTCTACCACTCTTAACAGTTTCCACTATTAAATTCAACTGTATTCCCACAATCTCCCCCTTTGATGAGCATCTACTTGCTAGCTGTTTTCATTCCAACTAGCAGAGAAATAAACTAGTGCCATGTGCTTCTGATCTGCCGTCTTGTCCCCTCATTGTTAACCACTCTTTTTAAATCAAAACCACAGCTCCATTAAGAAGAGTAAGGAGATGGGGGAGTGGGTAGAAAATAGTGTGTGGGTTAAATAATCAAAGTATGTTATATGCATGTACAAATATGCCAAAGTAAAATACACTGCTTGGTATATCTAATGTGAACTATTTTTTTCAGCTTTAATTGAGTTTATTGGTACATTTTAGGGATACAGTGCAGTTACATTCATTGTTGGGATCTTGTACCTCTACATGACGTCTTGATTCTCATTTTTTCCCCTTACCTCTGCCCTCCTTTCAACCCCTCCTCCCCTCCCCATCTACAAACACTTTATTTTCATCTTTTCATTCTCTCACATTTTTTTCTTTTCCCTTTTTACTCTTCCCCTACCCATCCCACCTTCCCTACACCTTTAGCTCCTTTCTTCCCATTTCTAAATGTCAGTAATCTTATTAGAATCTTATGCATTGTTGCACATTATTTACACCAGGGAAACTATTCGGTATTTACACGTGTGTGACTTATTTATTTCACTTAGGAGTACATCTTCAATATGTATCCATTTTCCTATGAATGAATCTATTTTCTCGTTCTTTATGGCTGAGTAATATTCCATTTTATAGAAAAACCACAACTTCTTTATCCAGTTTCCAACGGATGGGCAAATGGGCTGTTTCCAAGATTTAGCTATTACAAACTGTGCCGCTATAAACATGGGTGCACATACTTCTCTGTGATATGATTCTTTTAGTTCTCTTGGAAAGATACCCAGCAGAGGGATAGCTGGGTCAAATGGAACCTCCAGTCCAAGCTCTTTGAGGTATGTCCATATTGATTTCCATAGTGGTTGCACTAGTCTGCACTCCCACCAACAATGGAGGAGGGTTCCTTTCTCCCCACAACCCCGCCAACATTTGTTATTGTGTGATTTCTTGATAGCAGCTATTCTTTGTGGGGTGAGGTGGAATCTCAGTGTTGTTTTCATCTGCATCTCTCGAATGACCAGTGATGGGGAACATTTTTTCAAATATTTTCTTGCTGCTTTTACTTCTTTGTCTGAGAAATGCCTGTTCATTTCGGATGCCCATTTTTGAATCAGGTCTTTATATTTGGGGGGACTGATTGTTTTGAGTTCTTTATATATCCTTGATAATAGTCCTTTGTCTGAGGAACAGCTGGTAAAAATATTTTCCCACATTGTAGATTGTCTCTTAGTTCTGCTAATGGTTTCTTTTGAAGTACAGAAGCTTTTTAGTAAGATGAGATCCCAGTTGTTGATTCTATCTGCTAGTTCCCGTGCTACTGAGGATTTGTTCATAAAGTCTTTTCCTATACCAATGTCTTCCAGACTTCTGCCTAACTTACCTTCCAGGAAGTTTAATGTTTCTGTTTTAATATTTAGATCTTTAATCCATTTGGATTTTAATTTAGTGCATGGCGAAAGATAAGGGTCTAATTTTACTCTGTGGCAGGTTGACATCCAGTTTTTCCAACACCATTTATTAAAGAGGCTATCTTTCCTCCACTGAGGATGGTCAGCTCCTTTGTCAAAGATGAGGTAGCTGAGTACATCTGCATTTGTTTTTGTGTCTTCCAGTCTGTTCCACTGATCCTCAGGCCTATTTCTTTGCCAGTACCATGCTGTTTTTATCACAGTGGCTTTGGAGGGGTCTCTTCAGCTGTCTGCCTGCCTGAGATCACCCGGCAGGTGTGCGACCTCCTGGACTGCGTGATAACAGATCTAATGTGAACTATTAAAATTCACATAATAAGTCAAAGCTGTCAATGTGCATTAGGAGATTTTTCTCTTCAAAATATCATAAAGCAGGAGTTTTGAAATAATTTTAATAATAATAATGGCAGATAGAAGTTATTGAGACTATCACTGAGTGCAAAGGCACTTTCGAACCTCACAAATAGGACAATGACAGCAATAACCACATTTACAGAGAAAAATCATCCATATACAGACAAGCATCACTAGAAAGTATTGTCACAGAAAAATGGTTTGAATTAAAATTCTGAGTATAACCACTACCGCAATGCTGTAGCTTAAAGAAGTTTGGAGATTGCTAAAGAAAAGATGTAAAATCCCTTCAAATCTTTCTTTGAGTCGTATCTAAGGAAAAACTAGCTCACATCTGTAGACTTAAAAGAGAGAATTTAAATGAACAACTCAATGATAAAAGAGAGATTTCTGCAAACTCAAAAGAAAGATAGTATGGATGATTAAACACTTTACAAAGAAGAAATGGTCCGTGCCTTAGCCAAGTAAATCAGATTGACTGGCAGAAATCAATACAGATGAAAAGCACCATTAAAGACTGTTATTGTACTGGGATGGCTAACTTTCCAACTGACTCTTTATTCAGTGTTATGCTGCCTTCATCTCCAGAAGAACACGGTCTACATGGAAGCAGGGAACCATACCACTGTTGCACAATTCCTCTTGTTGGCTTTCTCAGATGATCCTAAATGGCAGCCTCTTCTTTTTGGACTCTTCCTGTCCATGTACCTGGTCACAGTGCTCGGGAACCTGCTCATCATCCTGGCCGTCAGCTCTGACTCCCACCTCCACACCCCCATGTATTTCTTCCTCTCCAACCTGTCCTTGGCTGACATCTGTTTCAGCTCCACCACAGTCCCAAAGATGCTGGTGAACATCCAGACACAGAACAAAGACATCTCCTACATAGAGTGCCTCACTCAGGTGTATTTTTTAAATACTTTTGCTGGAGTAGATAATTTCCTACTGGCTGTGATGGCCTATGACCGTTTTGTGGCCATCTGTCACCCTCTGAACTACATAGTCATCATGAATGCCCAGCTCTGTGTCCTTCTCGTCCTGCTTTCTTGGATCATCTTGTTCTTGCTCTCCTTGATTAATATTCTACTAATGAAGCAACTGACCTTTGCAATAGGCACTGAAATCCCACATCTCTTCTGTGAATTGGCTGAGGTTCTCAAGGTGTCCAGCTCTGACTCCCTCATGAATAATATCTTCCTATATGTGGCAACTGCCCTGTTTGGTGGGGTTCCTGTAGCTGGGATCCTCTTTTCTTACTCTCAGATAGCATCTTCTTTATTAAGGATGTCCTCCACTGAAAGGATGTATAAAGCTTTTTCTACTTGCGGGTCTCATTTCTGTGTGGTGTCCTTGTTCTATGGAACAGGATTTGGTGTGTACCTCAGTTCTGCTGTGACTCTTTCTACCCAAAGCAGCACTGTTGCCTCTGTGATGTACACTGTGGTCACCCCTATGTTGAACCCCTTCATCTACAGCCTGAGGAACAATGAAGTGAAGGGGGCCATGGCAAGACTCTTCAGCAGAGCAGGCTCCTGTCATTCGTGGATCATTGACTTTAGAACTATGTGAATGTTGTGTCCTCTGAGGGAAATGTAAATTTTACTTTGTGGCTGTTTATATTCTCTAAGAGTTATGTTTAAATTCTTCTGTTCCCCTGATGCTGCTTTGATATCTTTTTTATTTCTGTGCCTGTAAACAAATCCTAGTAACTTTCTGAAGCTTTTGCTACCTTTTATGATGCAAAAATTTCCAAACTTGGTGAGATGGGTTACAGCCATTCCTGACATTTTCAACTAGGCATAAAGAGCTTATATCAAGTGCTGGCATGTTTTCCTCAAAAATTGTGTGGATGTTAATGTACATCACCTCAATTTGAATATATTCCTATTTTTCTGGACGATATAGAAGGAAAGTCATCAGAGAAAATGTTTACCATATCAAGACTGTACTTACTGTTTCCCATGGATGGCTTCATTCTAAAATGGTCTTTTGAAATATTTCTCTCATTCACATAATTACTGAAGGGAACAGACTGAAATCGGAGAGGACCATAACTGGAAACTGATATACTTCTATCTGCTGTCCTACTAGTTATAATAACAAAAATTGGATTTTAGACAGCAAAGTTGTTATCTGGCTTGGACAGCAGCTACATTCATATGATTCGTAGTGGCGAAATGCCTAGCATAAGTTGAGAGATTACTTCTTCGCTTGTGGTTCATTCATTTTTCCTTCCTCCTTTCCTTGCTTCCTTCATTTTTCCTTCCTCCCTCACTTCCTCCCTCCATTATTTCTCTTTCTTTTTGAATGCTTTATGGGTTTATGTTAAGCTATTTCTCGTTTCTATACTGAATGATATTTCATTTTAAATTTATGTTACAAATTGTCTGCAAATGAAACAATTCCTTCACAATACATTTCTCAAAGCCTGTTCAAATTGGCATGGAATTCACAGTTATATTATTAAAATCTATTTCAGTGGCATGTATAGGGTGAGCTCTATTACAAGGCAATTTTATTTTTGACTTTGTGAGTAATCTACAGACTGTCGTTCATTGTAGCTTACAATTTTAAAATTCTAATCCAAGAAGGTTCTGATTTCATCACAATATAGCTGGTGCTAGACATTTTCTATTTTATTTAATTTTATGTTTTAATTGAGTTTATAGTTACTTTTTAGGTATATGATACAGTACAGTTACATTCATCATTGGAATCTTGTACCTTTATGTGACAGGTCTTGGTTCTCATTTTTCCCCCATACCTTGGCCCTCCCTTCAGGCCCTCCTGCCTTCCCTATTTACAAACACTTTATTTCCATTTTATCATTTTCTCAGTTTTTTTTCTTTTCCCTTATTTCCTTTCCCCTACCCTTCCTATTTCCCAAGCACCTTTAGCTCCTTTCTTCCTATTTCACATTGTCAGTTATACCGTTAGGATCTTATGTACAATTATAGTTTTTCACAACAGAGAAATGATTCAGTATTTACACATGTGTGACTTATTTATTTCACTTAAGAATGTAACCTCAGTATGCATCCATTTTTCCATGAATGTGTCCAGTTTCTCATTCTTTATAGCAAAGTACTATTCCATTTTATACAAAAACTATATCTTCTTTATCTAGTCTCCAACTGTTGGGCAAATGGGCTGTTTCCAAGCTTCAGCTATTACAAACTGTGCTGCTATAAGCATGGGTGCATGTATATCACTGTGGAATGATTCTTTTAATTCTTTTGGAAAGATACCCAGCAGGAGGATGGCTGAGTGAAATGAAACCTCTAGTCCCAATTCTTTGAGGTATCTCCATATTGATTTCCATAGTGGAATTTTAAAATACTTGGAATTTTAAAAGTAAACTTTTATTGAAAAATAGCATACATAAGACAAATGCAAAAGCAAAATCAAACAACTGGAAGTCATTTTTCTTCCCTTTTTTGTATAACACATATTTATCATGAAGAAAGTATCTGAAAATATCTTAGATTGTTCTTTTCTTTCTTACTTGTAAAATTTATTGTTGTGATAACTTGTGCTCTGCATGTTCTGCCCTTCTCAGATGATATTTCATAAATGCTTCAAGCATTTCGTGAGAGAGCTTTCTACTTTTGTCAAGTGTACATTTTATTATTTACTGTATTCTCCATAATGTACAATAGATAGCTTGAAATCTTTAACTGAACTCTTGCATGCTTTCACCAAATAACATCTGATTCTTCATACCACAGCCTCTCTTCCTCATCACTTTACACTGAATTATCCTTTCCTCTGTGCACATATAAATGTGCTCATGTGGTGGCTTTCTATTTATACCTGGTGTGTTTTACTTGATTTATGGTTATAAGGGTTGGTCAAGTTGTAGCAAAGCTCAGAATTACTTTTTGAGGTGTGTATTATTATGTTGCATTGTGTCTATAAATCACATATCATTCTCGATTTTCTTAATAATGAACATTTTGTTGAATCCATACCATGGCTATTGTGATTAGTGTTGCCACAGTAATTGGAATATACATATCCATTTTTAAAAAATTAACTTTATTGCTGCATTTTAGATAATGATCACTTTAATCATACAGAATTTATACCTGTGCATGATATATCTTGATTCTAATTTTTCCCACTCCCCTCCCCTCCCTTTAGCCCTTCTTCCTGTCTTATTGACAAAAGCTTTGTTTCTGTTTTCTCTTTCTGTTCTCATTTTTCCTTCTTCCTCTTCCTTCTTTTCCTCCCTCATGCCTCTTCCCATTTGGATATTTTCTTCCTGTTTCACATTGTCTATTATATTTCACAATCTATTTATACTTTCTATTTGTCACAAGAGGGAAATAACACATTATTTGCACACATGTGTCCAATTTACTTCACGTACATGTATGGTCTCCAGGTACATCCATTTCCTTAGAAATAGATCAAGTTTGTCCTTCTTTATTGCTGAGTAATGAAATGATACCTTTTAAAAAATCTTGGGCCAGAGATTAAGCTCAGTGGTGACACTGTCTGCCTCACAAGCACAAGGTCCTGAGATTTATTCCTGGTACATAATAATAATAATAATAACCAAATATGGAAAACAACGTCTTTAATATCCAATAGTCAGTTGATGGACATTTGTCCAAGATTTAGCTATTGCAAACTATAAACATGGATGTCCATATGTAACTGCAGTGTGATGCTTTTAATTCTTTCAGGAAGACACTGAGAAGTGGGGTACCTAGCTCAAATGGAACCTCTAATCCTAGTGTTTTGAGGAATCCGCACACTGATTTCCACAGTGGTTGCACCAATCTACACTCCCCCTAACATTGGAGATGGGCTCGTTTTTCCAAACAGCCCCACCAGCATTTTTTACTGGCTGATTTCTTCAGAGGAAGAAAGCTAAGAGAGACAAAAGGGGGACCTAGAAAGTGGGTTAACACCCACCATGGTTTTCGAAGGTGTGGTTTCTTTTTGTGTCTCAGGGACTGAGCTCAGGACCTTGTGCTTGTGAGGCAGGCAACAAAACCACTGAGCTAAATCCTCGGCCCTGTTTCAAGAAATCAGCCATCCTTTCTGGAGTGAGGTGGACTCTCAGCGTTGCTTCAATTGACATCACAAATGACCTGTGATAGTGAACATTTTATCACACATTTGCCAGTTTTCTTCATGAAAGTGTGTATTCACCTCGGATGACTAGTTTTGGACAGTGTCTTTAAATGTGGGGCATGTGATTTTTTCCTGTTCTTTATAAATGTTAGTCATTTTTGTCTGAAGAACAGCTGGAAAAGAACGTTTTTATACTGTTTGTTGTCGCTTCACTGTCTGTGATTGCTTTTGCTGTGTAATGCCTTTTGAATAAGATGAAATATCACGTCTTGATTTTTTAAAATATTTCTTGTGCGGTTGGGATTTTATTCCTAAAATGTTTGCCTACATCTATGCCATCTATGTCACGAGTTCCACCTATTTTTTCTTCCAGCACATTTAGTGTTTCCATTTCAGTATTTAGATTTTGGATCCATTTTGATTTTAGCTGAGTACATGGTGAGAGACATGGATCTAGTTACGGTCTTCAGCACATAGTTATTGTTAACTGTTGTCCCAGCACTGTTTATTACAAGGGCTATCTTTCTTCCAGTGAAAATAATTGACCCCTTCTCAAAGGAAAGGCGGCTGAATGTATTTGGAGTGTTTTTGCGTTTCCTTATCTGTTCCACTGATCCTTGAGTCTACCTTATCTGACAGTACTATTCTTTTAAAAATCATATGTATAGCAGTAGCTTTGTAGTATGTTTCAGTTTACAAATTGTGATGCCCGCTGCCTTCCCTTTGTTGTACAGAATTTTTCTTTTTTTTTTTTTCTTGCTATTCTAGGTACTTCTGGTTCCAAATGAATTTTAGAAATGTTTTCTCTACTTCTAAGAGGCATTCTGGTGACACTTTACTGGGAGTTGCATTAAATCTGTATAACAATTTTGGGAGTATGGCCATATTTTATTATGCTCTTTCTTCCTACCCACAAACAAGGGATATCGTTCCATATTCTGGTAACCTCTTTGATCACTTTTTTCATAGTAGTATAATTTTCAGTGTTAAGATCTTTTACTTCCTTTGTTAGATTGATTCGTAAGTATTTCACTTTTTTCGCATTTTGTGAATATTGTGGATTCTCTAATTTCTCAGTAAGTTTATTTCTGTACAAGAATGTTATTGATTTTTTAGTTTTGACTGTAGCAGCTATGCAATTGCATTTAGTTATTAAATCTAGAAGTCCCTGAAGGATCTTTTGAGGTTTATTATGGTAGAGTAACATGTCATCTGCAAATAGTAACAATTTAACTTCTTTCTTTCCCATTTTCATTCATTTCTATTGTTTAATTCATCCATCTAATGTTTCACGAAGTATATTCAATAGGAGGGATGATAGTAGTGTCCTTGTATTCTTCCTGACTTTAGAGTGAAAGTTTTCAGTTTTTGACCATTTAGTAGGATGCTGGCTGTTGGTTTGCCATCGATGGCTTTTATCACATTGAGATGAAAATGTCCACTCCAGTTTTCTGTAGGGTTTCATCCTGAATGGATGTTGAACT